AATGTGACCACAAATCCACATTTCTTTATCTGCCGGAGATTTATACATCATATGAAGATAGAATTAACTCTGAAAACTGAACTGAGGCAGCTTACATTCACTAGAACTTCATCTATACTCACCGGCCACTTTATTAGGAACAACTATTCACTCGCGCTAATTTCTAATCAGCCAATCACATGGCAGCAACTCAATGCATTTAGGCGTATAGACATGGTCAAGAGGATCTGCTGCAGTTCAGAGCGTGCATCAGAATGGGGAAGAAAGGGGATTTAAGAGACTTTGAACGTGGCATGGTTGTTGCTGCCAGACGGGCTGCTCTGAGTATTTCAGAAACTGCTGATCTACTGGGATATTCACGCACAACCACCTCTAGGGTTTACAGAGAATGCTCCGACAAAGAGGAAATATCCAGTGAGTGGCAGTTCTGTGGGCGCAAATGCCTTGTTGATGAGGCCAGAGGTCAGAGGAGAATGGCCAGACTGGTTCCAGCTGATAGAAAGGCAACAGTAACTCAAATAAGCACTCGTTACAGCACTCTGTGTGAGCAGAGTATCCATTTCTGCTGACACATTCGGATGCTCGGCTTACAATTTGGCCTCAACAACATGAAAGCATGGATCATCCTGCCTTGTATCAGCGGTTCAGGCTGGTGGTGGTGGTGTAATGGTGTGGGGGAGATTTTCTTTGGGTCCATTAGTACCAATTGAGCATCAACGCCACAGCCTACCTGAGTATTGCTGCTGACCATGTCCATCCCTTTATGAGCACAGTGTCTCCATCTTCTGATGGCTACTTCCAGCAGGATAATGCAGCATGTCATAAAGCTCAATCATCTCAAGACTGATGAACATGGCTGATGAACGGCCTCCACAGTCACCAGAGCTCAATCCAATAGAGCAGCTTTGGGATGTGGTGGAATGGGAGATTGGCATCATGGATGTGCAGCCGACAAATCTGCAGCAACTGTGTGATGCTATCATGACAATATGGAGCAAAATCTCTGAGGAATATTTCCAGTAGCTTGTTGAATCTCTGCCATGAAGGATTAAGGCAGTTCTGAAGGCAGAAGGGGTCCGACCAGGTACTAGTAAGGTATACCTAATAAAGTGGCCAGTGAGTTTGTTAAGCTGCTTAATCAAGCTACAATGTAAAAGCTCTACAGAAATGAAGATGAATTAAACTGAAGAGTGGGAGAGAGAGAGTGAGGTTTGAACTCATTGCTATATCAGCTTCTCTGGCTGCTTCATGGCAAGACACCCGATCAAATTGACAACTTTTTCTAAACATCACTTTAATCAATAATTAAATTATACAAGGATAAAAAGGCATCAGCTACAATAAAATAAAATAAAAACTTTACTTTTAATCAAAATTGCACCATTTTGAAAGATTGACATTTAAAAATATTTCCTTTAAAGTGTCTCAGGATAAAAATAGTCGTCTGACAACATTAAACAGGGCATCCTGTACATCACATGAACAGCAGAGCTGAATAGCCAAGCCTAAAAAATCTGTATTGTTGCACCTCTAGTATGTACTCCTATATAGTCTTCTACACTGTGAAAACATCCATAAACTAGCAATTTTTCACATTGTGATTCATTTATTTCCATTTATTTCTGCTTCTGAGTTGCATTATGGGATCTTGATCTTTCTTCCAGCCACTTTTAACCTTGAAAAAGTGAATTTCATGAACATTTGTATTAGTATGCAGTGCTATAGTGTCTGTGTTGGTGTTTACATTTACATTGTCATTTAGCAGATGCTTTTATGCAAAGCGACTTACAAATGAGAACAAGGCAGCAACTGGCAGCCAGTGCAAACGGATGAGCAGCGGAGTGACATGTGCTCTTTTAGGTTCATTAAAGACCACTCGTGCTGCTGCATTCTGGAGCATCTGAAGAGGCTTGATAGAGTTAGCTGAAGCCCGGCTAGTAGAGAGTTGCAATTGTTGTATTTCACACTACAAACCTCTGGAATAAACTGCAGCACATTTTCTGTAATTTTACAGACTCATTTCTGCAGATATTATTAGTTTTTATACATCATAATTATTATCTCAAACGACTAAAATGTCACTAAACGTCACTTTTTATAAACTGTAGAGTTGAATTTACAACATCAGAAGTGGACAGAGCAGAGATCAACATCCCATGATGCAATTCACAGCTGTAAATAAACTAAAACACACAAAATATGAACACTGTCCGTTAACATACTCTTACAGTGCAAACTAATTTTACCGGCTCTTGTTGGCCACCAGCTCGTTCTCATGGTACCACTCAACAGCGGGCATCGGCTCGGCTGTGAACTGACAGTGGAAAACAGCTTCTTCATTCTTCATCACCACCAGATCTTCAGGCTTCACCAGCGGCTGAGGGAAACTCTTATCTGCCGAGAGACCAAGGAAAAACCCACACGTTACACAGCGGGAACAACAGAGCTCATTAACCCTAATGTGTGCTGTTGGGGCTGTTTTCATCCACTCTGGGCTGATTTTAAGTCTCAATTTGGCCACAGCTATCTCTGCGTTTCAGCAAACAGGATGAGTTTAGGTTACAAATCTTGTTTTGACACATATTTGGGGAAAATACTTTGAAAATTGTTCAAAAACTCAACAATACACTCAAATTGACTCCCCTTTGGTTATGTTTGGGGCTGTTTTTGCCCCATTGACTTCCATTATAATAGTTTTTGATGCTGACAGCATATAATCATGCATTCTTGACTGTTCTCCCTCCAGGAAAAAAGGAGATATTTTGAAAAATGTTGGAAACCTGTGACCAAACCTCAGGTATAATTCTGTAAATGTCATTATTAAAATGTAGTTTAATGCTCAACTATTCAATCCCGTTACTGTCATTTATGGAAAATGTTTACCTTTCAATTAATTTAGCCGTCCCAAATTTGCTATTGTGGATAACCAATGTCATTATTTATAATAGTTCATCATCTTCTTAATGTTATTTAACCCTAATGTGTGCTGTTGGGGCTGTTTTCATCCACTCTGGGCTGATTTTAAGTCTTAATTTGGCCACAGCTATCTCTGCGTTTCAGCAAACAGGATGAGTTTAGGTTACAAATCTTGTTTTGACAAATATTTGGGGAAAATACTTTGAAAATTGTTCAAAAACTCAACAATACACTCAAATTGACTCCCCTTTGGTTATGTTTGGGGCTGTTTTTGCCCCATTGACTTCCATTATAATAGTTTTTGATGCTGACAGCATATAATCATGCATTCTTGATAGTTTTTCCTCTTGGAAAAAAGGGAGATATTTTGAAAAATGTTGGAAACCTGTGACCAAACCTCAGGTATAATTCTGTAAATGTCATTATTAAAATGTAGTTTAATGCTCAACCATTCAATCCTGTTACTGTCATTTATGGAAAATGTTTACCTTTCAATTAATTTGGCCGTCCCAAATTTGCTATTGTGGATAATGAATGTCATTATTTATAATAGTTCATCATCTTCTAAATGTTATTTAACCCTAATGTGTGCTGTTGGTGCTGTTTTCATCCACTATGGGCTGATTTTAAGTCTTAATTTGGCCACAGCTTTCTCAGTGTTTAAGCAAATGGGATGAGTTTTGGTGATTTTTGAAACATATTTGGGGAAAATACTTTGAAAAATGTTCAAAAACTCAACAATACACTCAAATTGACTGCCCTTTGGTTATGTTTGGGGCTGTTTTTGCCTCATTGACTTCCATTATAATAGTTTTTGATGCTGACAGCATATAATCATGCATTCTTGACTGTTCTCCCTCCAGGAAAAAAGGAGATATTTTGAAAAATGTTGGAGACCTGTGACCAAACATCAGGTATAACTCTGTAAATGTTTTTCTAAATGATTTAAGTCTTAATATGGCCACAGCTTTCTCAGTGTTTCAGCAAACAGGATGAGTTTTGGTGACAAACCTGGTTTTGACACATATTTGGGGAAAATGCAATACACTCAAATTGACTGCCCTTTGGTTATGTTTGGGGCTGTTTTTGCCCCATTGACTTCCATTATAATAGTTTTTGATGCACTGACAGCATATAATCAGGCATTTTTGACTGTTCTCCCTCCTGGAAAAAGGAGATATTTTGAAAAATGTTGGAAACCTTTGACCAAACATCAGGTATAATTTTGTAAATGTTTTTCTAAATGATTTTAAGTCTTAATTTAGCCGGAGCTTTCTCAGTGTTTCAGCAAATGGGATGAGTTTTGGTGACAAATCTTGTTTTAACACATAAATACTTATGAAAAATAAGTATTTAAAAACTTATCTTTGAAAAATTTTTAAAAACTCAACAATACACTCAAATTGACTCCCCTTTGGTTATGTTTGGGGCTGTTTTTGCCCCATTGACTTCCATTATAATCACTTTTTTATTGCAAAGACAGGACAGCATATAATCAGGCTTTCTGGTTTATCCTGTGGGGAGGTAAAGCTTGCCATTTGTACTGTTGATCATCAGTATCAGTATATGCTATATGGAGTATAGACCTTTGTGAACTTAATTGGATATGTCTGAGAAACTCAAAATCCTCCCCTCAGCTTTCAGGACAGAGTAAACACAGTATGCAGGGTTCAACGCCATGGATTTTTTCTATTGGCCCAATCGGGCCAGTGATTCAGATTTTTACTTGCCCTGCCAACATTGTCTCTGGCCTCACCAATAATAAGTTATTCAGCATAACTATTCTTCAAATACAACTGACAATTTAAAAATGATTTAATTTAATAATCCTGAGAAAATGGAGGAAATGGGTTGAATATATTTTAGTTGGAAGACCTGACTTTGTTGCTATAAATGAATAGAAGATGATGTTCTGACAGATTAATATATGCTAATGTATGTGCATGTATATGGTTACACTTATTCATATTATAATGTGCCCCCATGTGTATAATGAAGACGGCCATTTGAGATTACTCTTGAAGGAATTATATTATGACATGTGTTCTAACCCTGGATGTAAATAGTGTTTTAATTTTCATTTATTTTTGATTATTATATTTTATTTTATATTTCTCTCATTATTTTGTATTTTTCTTCTCTCTTTCTGCTGTTTTTCATTTTATAATTTACAAAATTTGAGTACTACTGTGTAGTAAATACACCTGACAATAATGTACATAACTTTTATGCCACCTAAGTTCACATACTGAGATACCAATATACCTTGAATTGCTGTATGACTGTCCTCAATTATATGTTCAAAATAAACATAAAATAAAAAAAATTATTTAATTTAAATACAATACCGATTAGATTAATTAAAGTGAATCGTTTAGATGAAAACTACATCAGTTTTATGATTTTTGCTTGTTCAAAACGCACTAAAAATGCCTAAACCGGCTCATTACATCGATATATAATACTGTCAATATTTTTATTTTTCATTTATCTGTAAACCTATTGATTTGATATTGGTTATTGTGACAGGCCTAAATCTGATCACATTATTTGCTGTCAAGAGAAACACACAGACCGATAATGTTGAGTGTGAAGTTGTCGCTGCTGCACACTTGTCCTGCTGCGTTTTTGGCACAGCAGTGGTAGAGGCCGTTATCATCAGGACTGGCGTTCAGCAGCGTAACGCTTCGCTCTTTGTTGTTGATTTTGTAGTTTTTTTCTGTTATTTGACTCCCGTCTTTAAACCAGCGATTGGTCGGCCTGTAGATTACAAAACATTCATTACAACACTGAAAACTTCACTATAGATTTTGGCTGCATGGTGATTGAATGATCAATGGTACATTATATATATATACATACATACACACACATACATGCATACATATATATATATATATACACATATATATATATATATATACATATATATATATATATACACACATATATATACACACACATATATATATATATATATATATATATATATATATATATATATATATATATATATATATATATATATATATATATATATATATATATATATATATATATATATAGATAGATATAGATATAGATAGATATATAGATAGCGCTAGTCTCTGACCGTGGGTATCCGTCTATGTTGCAGCGCAGTATCACTTGTGAGGAGCTCTGAATCTCTGCCACTGACTCAGGACTCTTCAGACTCACCGCACCACTTTCCAACCCTGTCAAAAATAAATAAATAAATCCATGTCTAATATCAGATGGCCAGTAAGTAATACATTTTTATAATGTTTAAATAGTGGTGTCTGAGACTGATGTGCACCATGACCTGTATATGCAATTCCCTTTAGTGCATCATATGATTAAAAAGTGATCATAAATGAATATTTCCTCAATTCAAATGAGAAACAGTTTTGCATACAAGCGGATCTCAGGGCAATCACTTATCCGCCGATGCAGAAAAGTGATGGAAAATTATAATTATATCTTCTGGAGAAAGGCTTATTTGTTTTATTTCAGCTAGAATTAAAGCAGGTTTAAATATTTTGAAACCTATTTTAATAGCTCGATATTATTAGCCCCCTCAAGCAATATATATTTTTGATTGTCTGCAGAAGAAACTACTGTTATACAATCACTTGCCTAATTACACTAGTTAAGCATTTGAATGTCACTTTAAGATGAATACTAGTGTCTTGAAAATATCTAGTAAAATATAATGTGCTGTATAGCAAAGACAAAAGAAATCAGTTATTAGAAATGAGTTATTAAATCTGTCATGTTTAAACTGAGCTTTAAGCATCTTCACTGTATTTTTGATTTGATTATTGATTAATAAAAGCAGTCGGCAGCAGCAGGAATACCGCACGCTGTCACTTTAAGAATAGTGCGGCTCTGATATGGTTTCTCTCTGTCTTTTGATTCTCAACTTGTTTATTACACAAATGAGGGTTAATATGAATAATCACTAAACGCCGCGCTCTGACAGTACTGTGCATGTATTTGACCATTAAATCGCTTACATTAAGATGGCGTTAGATGTGTGTTTGTTCTGCTGTCTGAGGCTAAGCGCGGGGAACGCGCAAACACACACACACACACACACACACACACACGATACCTGTCCGAGGCTGAGCGCGGCACGCGCACACACACAACTGCACGTGCTCTTTTGCGCTTTTAAACTATGAATGATGATGGTCGGCGCAATAGCCTAGTGGTTAGCGTGTTGACATATGGTGCTGTAGCACTTCAGGGAGTCCCGTGTTCGAATCACAGCTCGAGGACATTTCTCGTCCCTAACCCCTCTCTCTCCCACTTCGCTTCCTGTCTGAAATACTGTCCTATCCACTCAATAAAGGCAAAAAGGCCAAAAAAAAATCTTTAAAAAAAAAATATATATATATATATATATATATATATATGAATGATGTGCATCCCGTGCTGCAGACGTTACATTACAGCTCACGCTTTTAGTCATTTTCACGTGGAACTGAGCTTTGCAGAGCAAAACGTGTACAACTGGAAAGGGGTCGGTATGTGATGGAATAATCGTTTATCTCGATTAATGCTTTTTCATAATTGTTAAAAGCCAAAATCGAAATCGGATTTTCGATTAATTGCACAGCCCTAGGCTGCGTCCGAAACCGCATACTTCCATACTATACAGTACGCTAAAATCAGTATGCGAGCCGAGTAGTGTGTACGAATTCTTAGAATTGGAAAATCAGTATGCGAGAAGTACCCGGATGACTTACTACTTCCGATGAGATTCTGGAGAGTGCATCCCATGCACGCTGTGCTATCCCATAATGCCCTGCGAGAGAATTCATCAATGTAAGTGAGGCGACGCAATTGACGCAGGTAGGTCATGTGACCATGACAAATTGGCGGATGTAGTACGTCCGAATTTTATTCACACTGCTCACATTCATACTGTATAGAACGCACTTTTCTAAAGGCCGAGTAGCACGTTTAAATTCAAATGCAGCACCTACTGAGTAGTAGGCGGTTTCGGACGCAGCACTAGTTTGCACATTGTAATCTTTAATAGAAATCTGAAGTCAGTCTGTTTGATTTCAGTTCTCAGATTAGGAGAAAAAACTTATCAGAAAAAAATAAAATAAAAATCAAGATATGGCCAGTTTCCTCATTTAATATTCAGCTTATCTGCGTCAAAATACGAAAAACAAACAGTCGCAGCTTCCAGTTCATGCTGACTTTAAGAATAACAATGTGAGCCAGCAAAATAAACGTTGTGAATTTGGATTTCAAGCAGAGATCCTTAGGATTAAATCTTTATCAGGTTTGGTGTGAACGAGCCCTTAAGAGCTCAGCGATCAGACGGACGATCAAAAACAAACTCCTCCATTCACAGCATCTGCTCATGCCGCAAGAACAGGCGTCTCCATTGAGTTGACCTTACTTGTTATCTGACACAAACGGCCGGACGCTGCATTTCAACCAATTAATCTTGGCGTTGCACATAAAGAGCCGCTTTGTCCGGCTTCCACTCGCTGGCTCAAAATAGCCGTCTCTCACGCGGGCGTTGTTTAGCTAGCTGCGGCCTGAAGAGCCAATGGTTCACATGTGCTTTACACGCCAGGAAAAGCATCAGCAAGAGTTTCACTGACTGAAGACTTGAGATTTTGAGCTCTGCGTTGGTGTTGGGTTTCTCCCAGTCTGTTCTGAGGGTTAATGTGCTCTCTTATTGATGAATAAGTCTGATCAGGCTGTTTCTAGTTATGCACTTGTTATAAACTCAACACTGAAGATGTGCTTCGTTTAAAGGGCACCTAGTTCACCTCTAGTTTAATATTTAATATTAATATTATGGTTGTTCTGAGTGTGCCAGTTTAGGCTTAGTTCAGAACTCAGTTCAGATTTTTGGGGGTGTGTACACAGCTCGTTGTTTTAGGGGTATATTGTAGAGATCAGCGCGGGGTCGCGGAGTCCCGCTCCTGCCCGCTCCCGCCAGGTTTTAGCCCGAACCCGACCGCTCCCGCTTATATTCAGCATTTGTTGTCCCGCTGCCTGACCCGGCCCATTTTCTACCAGCCGCGTTCGATCCCGCTAAAGAACGTGGGGGAGGAAAAAAACGAAATCCACCCAGCTATACAGAGTCCAGACAGCTTATAACAAGCTGTCTGTATAAACACACACACGTTCATTCACACATCACGTTACATTTGCATGCTCGCTCGCTCAGGAGTCGGGAGCGATATTGCAAGACGGCCCGCTCCCGTCCCAAATTAAACCCGTTACCGACCGCTCCCGCGCTTTATTCGGAAATAAGAATGCAGACCTCTAGTGTGTTGCTTCACATGAAAATTTGTTTCGACTTCCCGCCTAACTTAACAAGGGGGCGGAGCCAAGAGCTCCCCCGCTTTGTGTATGCCAACAGAGAGAAGCAGCATGAGTGAGCGGACCAGCATTCAGCCGTACATGTACGACTCAAGACACAGACCGAGCAGATACGACTGTAGAGGAGTCAGCAATTCTAATGTGCCAGAATGTGTAATTACAAAAGCACTCGTGTCTTTGTTTAGTTTAACAGCTGCTATGTAACGATGCATGCGTCATCCGTATCCGCTTATAAGTGGCGATGTGTGTAATACTGTTTCCGAGTCCAAGCCACCACTCATTTGAGTTGAGAAATCATTCGTTTATGATCACTTTTAATTCATATCACACAATAAAGTTAATTTTTTATATAAAGTCATAGTGTACACAACAATCTCTGGACTTGTTGCATAACAAATATCAAACTTTTAACAATTTATTAAAAAAAATGAATCACTTTCTGGCTATGAATATGATATGTAAACCCGTACAGCTTTACTGTAGATATTTATTAGAGTGAGCATGACGTCGACTTAAACTCAGTCGTACACCACGCCCACCAAAAGGTTACTCTTTGTAGTGGAAACGCAAGCCTGATAAAGGTGACCCGTACCCACCTGAACCATACCGTACTGTACCAATCAGTGGAAACGAGGCCTAATTAACCTAGTTTATACTGATTACAATGCGTATAAAGTCAAAGGTGTTAAAACACATGCTAATGATACAAGCTTTTTTGGTAACTTTAAGGTAAAACTTCCCAATCAGATGTGTTTTTAACTTCTACTCATCAAAAATCCAGATTCGGCATTGTAGATCCTGCGATGTGACTACTGCGCATGTGCCCACACTTTTATAAACAGCAGATTCAAGCACTTTCAAGGACCTGTGTTTGTTTTTAAGCACTTTCAGGCCCTGAATCCAATTCCAGAACTGTCCAGAAGTGTGGGAATCCTGTATTTGTGCACACGCGCATTTCCATATCGATGCTGAAACCATACATTGTGCAGCCCTAATATGAAATGAAGGTAAACTCACACTTGATGTTGAAGGAGGTCTCGGCCGTTCGCTCTTCTTCTCCAGTGCTGTTTTTAGAGGCGATGCATTGGAAGTTTCCAGAATCCAGCGTCCGGTCGATGGCAGTGAACTTCAGGTTTCCTCCGTCCAGAAAGCGGCGCTCTGAGTTTGTGACCGGCTCTCCGTTTTGTGTCCAGGCATAAGAAACACCCTGAGGGTCGTTTACTTCACACCGCAGCATGGCACTGCGCCCGTGCAGAGCGTCCTGGGGTTTTGGCTCTTTGGTGAAGTAGAAAGAGGCAGCCTGTGCCATAATCACTATCGAGAACGAGAAAAAGACAAAGCATCGTCATGAGCAATGATAGCCGAAATAATCAGGCTCAATCCCAATTCTCTTTTAGCCTGCTTTCACACCCATCAATCGATTATTTTGTTCTGAAGCAGCTATTAAAAGTGTTGCTTTTTGTTCAAGTGTGGTGCGCTTTCACACGGCAAAGTTTATAAACAGACCATAATAGTTTAAATAAGTCACACGCCAGTAAAATGTACTCCCATTGGTCAAAGTTGGTCCTGGATTTTGCCTACCCAAATTTAAAAGCTTCCCAAATCCACATGCAGAGGTGTGGATTTGGTATCGTTTTAAAGAAAACCCTTTGAGTTTTTCATAAAACACTATTGAAAGTGTTTAAAATATCTGTATATGTTGTTGAGTGAGTGTGCTGTAATTAATGTTGCTGGTTCCTGCACGTGTCTGTAATCATAGGACAAAAGAGAAATGTCTCCACCATAATCTATGCAGAAGTTATTGTGTTCCTGCTGATGAGAGGTGCTGTACAAGCCACAGGGAGCGATCATTGTGTTCATATTTCACTATTCTTCTGTTTGATCAAACATAATTCAGTGTGTTTGGAGCACGTCAGACATATAAAAGCATTACTCATGCACATCAGCTCAAAAACAGAGGAGAATGGCCCTGAAGCACACAGCATAAGGTAAGAGATGACAGCTGTCTGTGCTATCTGGGGCTGCTTATTGATCATAAATGTATTGTTTTCACTTCTGCACCATGGAAACACCGAGATTCATTCAGCAACTGTTTGATATGTGAATATAATTCAGTAAGAAGAACGCTAGAACCGTATGAGCACCGGCAAGAGCTTTCATTTGAGCTATAACTTGTACATGTGTCATATGAGAAATATGAAAATGAACCAATGTTCAATACCCAGCTGGGGGATCCAAAAACTGTATTTAATAACTTTTGTACAGTAGATTAAAAACCAAAGTGATGCAGATATGTGCATAAAATATAGATTCTACACTTTCAAAAGAAACCACTTACGGGGGTCTGGTGCAATGCTAGACCTTTGAATCTTAAAGCGAAAGTCGATGACGACACGGACCCGGTTTAACTGGTTGGGAGCGCCGGTGCTACCAGGTAAAAATAAGTTAATTTAAGCTCTGCATTAGATGAATGTTGTATTTATTGGTTTTATTTATATATTATTTATTGTTCTGTCATTTATTTAGTGTAAAATTATTTCTGTTTAAATGTCACAAATATTCACTTATTTTAAAGCACAGAGAGAGAGAGAGAGTCATTGACTATTGTTTGTTTTTAATAGCATTATGTGCTGTATTACCTGGTTACTGAGCAGCAATAAATAACACTGTAAATTATAAATATTTTTTAATCCTATTTTCTGAACTAGTGGGGTTTTTGATTAATGAATACATAATAATCGTGATTATTTCTCAGACTATAATCTTACAACCAAAATCCATAATCGCTGCATCCCTAGTAGCAGTATGTCCTATCAGGTGGAACAGAATTGGTTTAAAACTCATATCACAGTTTTTGAAAATAAATCTATCGCGATATATATTGATATCAAATTATTGTCCAGCCCTACTAATGAGCTGTATTACAGCTTCATCTGTGTCTGTTTCCATCACCGACTGCTGTTTATCTGACATAGCGAATGATGAGAAGCACACGCGCATGTTAGAATGAAGAGCGGGAAGAAGCGGCTCATTTGCATTTAAAGCAACATGCTACAAAAACAGCGACGCTGTACTCAGACACCCAAATGAGCAGATTCTACATTACATAACAAATAATCTGAAGGGTATATTGAGCAGAAACTGCAGACACTTTCTGGAGACGGCATTTAGGCGGGATTAAATCAGATTTTGAATTATAAAAGCGCACATTTCAAAGCACTTTGCGGGAGCTTTAATCAGTGCCTACAGCTCCAGAAGGACGACTTGTGCTGTCGATAAGTAAAGTGCAGGTGAAAGACTTTGAGAGAAAGCAGAGCAGCTTTCAGCCTTCCTCAAGACTAAGTTCGCTCTTTGTTTTCATGCAGCTGGAGCTCCAATCCAGACGCCCAGGTGTGCTTCAGACCAGACCAAAACTGGCTCTTTAATCCTGACCTGCCTCTCAGACCCCAACGATAACCTTCATTATTATTTTCTGATAGTCTCCAGAACAAATCACTGTTATACAATGACTTGCCTAACTATCCTAACTTTAACTCAATTACCTAGATAAGCCTTTAATAGTCACTTTAATACTACTTTAATACTAGTTTCCTGAAGAATATCTTGTCAAATATTAAGTGCCGTCGACTTTTATGTTTACAATTGTGTTGAAACTTCTCTCTGTTAAACAGAAATTGAGGAAAAAATATACAAGAGGGCTGATAATTCTGACATCAACTAATTTCTGGCGGTTTTAAAACCTTGGCTTTTCCAACCCGTGGCAAATCGTGAAACCGGTTATCGTCCCTGCTGAATGCCAGGAGTGCCCCAGGGTCTAATGCTCAGTCCCTCTGCTGTTCTCCGTCCAGCAGAGTGAATCTTCATTCAGCAGATCTGACATTCAGCCAGACGGACAGACAGTAGCCAGTCCCGCTCCGATGGCCAGCGCTCACACTGGGAATGGGAAATGAAGGCCAGATTCCCTGCGGCGCGGCACTAAAACATATTCAATAAACAGCTGTGATGAGTGACGGGAGTCTGGAGATATTTCATGAGCGAAACGAGACGGTTGCAGCTGTCCGGAGAGAGATAACCTCTCTTTAATTCACTTTGACGGGGTGTCAACATGACTCCACTCAATACACAGCTGTGCTCGGATTATATTGGAAGAAAACTGACATTGTTTTGCTGCAGTATACAGCGCTCCACACAAATCAGCACACTCCATATTTTGAAAGTGGATATTTGGTAACACTTCAAAATAACTACACACTATGAATCAGTTATTAAGCATTAGCATGTGGTCAATTCATTATCTGTTATGCATTACCTCTGCATTAATAAATGTTAGTAAGCAGTTTACATATGCTCCATTCTTGACTTATTAGTAGGCCCTACGCAGGAATCCCAGCCACACGCAGGAATCCGCAGAGTTTGAGCCCATCATTCAGTCTATTTATTTACTTGTGTGTAAATTTATATGCATTCAATTATTATATTTATTTAAATTAATTTCACTATTATTATTACGATATAATAGTATCGTATCGGGGGGGGGGGTGCAATGGTGTTGGATGGTGGAGAGGTGTTGCGGACAAAAGGACGAAAGTGGAACGGGAAGGGGGGTTGTCGCCAACGAAAGTGAAGAGGGTTGGGGAGTCGCGGATAGAAAGTGAAAGTGAACAGCGGATGTGGGAGGAGGGCGCTTGAGGAGGGGGATCGGTAAAATAAGGAGTCGGATCAGATTTCAGAGGTGCCGGATCCAGCGAGTTCCGACACAAATTAAGCCCTGGTCCCGTCCAAACAGCTTACAAAAGATGATTTTTTATCATGGGTGCCACTTAATCCAGTATCTCTGCACTGAACACTGTAAAACAGTTTGATTTCTTCTTCATTCTGTGATATGAAACAACATTCGGCCACAAACATGAGTGACTTTGAAACACTCGACTGATGTTTTAAGGGTCACAAAACACCAAAACACATGTGTTGAGCTGTTGACAGTGGTATTTGTGTCCCACACTGCTGAAAACACTATTAGGACACCTATATTTCACTAAAAAGTGTAAATTGGTTGTTTTTGCGTTATTTCAAGCAAATTCGTTCTTCCGGTTTGAAACGAATTTTTGAAGCTGCGTCACGGTCATGAGATAATAGCGTGTATTCCAGCGTGCAGACTGGACGTCTGTGCCAGAGTGTGTCTTATTACGTCTTACAGTGTGCTGCATTAATGCATGAGTAAGGCTTGGTTCAAACCAATCAGCGCGCTCTATTGTGCAACTTCATTAATATTCATTACTGTGTTTACACGACATAGACGCCACGTTATGTTGACAAAACAAGCGTGAAGTGTTGCTTTTATAGTTTGCTGCAGTTCAGTTTTGTTTTCATTTTCTCTCTGTGAGAGCTCAGCTGGAGTCACGTGTGGATTAACAGTGTACGCGACGCTCGACAACAATAACTTACATGTCTAAGGAGGAACATTGTTTACCTGAGAGCTGTTCTAATCTGCAAACGCTGAGATCCGGATTCGCTTGTAGTCTCCTCTTAATAAAGACGCGGCTCTAGTTGCTGGTGATTGTCCTGTCTCTACAGATTTGGTTAGTGAGTGACCAGTGCTCTTTGTTTATTCAGTTTGTTTGTATCGAACTAACTATTGCACCTTGTGTAAACATGTTAGCACCACGACCAAACTTTAACCTCGTGGAGGATTTTCACCGCATTTTGTGACCGGAATAACACACGCGGCTTTCAGACACTACCTGCCGAGTGCATCTAAGTTTCCGGGAAATGCTGAAGGTTTTTTTCTGTCATTCGCCGTGCGGTATCAAGCATTGCATGAAAAATACACGCTTACAGCAGTTCCTCGAATCAAATATCTCGTTTGTCGCGAGGGACATGAATGAATTCCCTGAATGAAAGAGCCAAACTGCAGTTAAAGTCCACCATTTAATCATTTGGCAAATAATTCGACTACAGATGTCCATGTAGGTTAAACACCATCACTTTCTACTGTGTGTGTGTGTGTGTGTGTGTGTGTGTATTTTGACTCTGAAACTTGCGCGTGCCCAAATAGACACTTCCACACCATCCCACTTTTCTTCCTCCGACACTCCCCCCTAAACAGAGCTGGACACGCCCACTTTTCTGACTTTTTCCAAAGTAGAGGTGTGAAAACACCCTGCTGAAACGAGGGGCTTTCATGGCCCTTTAAAGTAAATGCATGTCAGTAAATCTATGAGAACAGGCTCCTAAACGCAAAACTGCAATGCATAAGTGCTACTGTAACAAATCATTGCACAGACTTTTGCAGGATTTATCTTTATTATTATTAT